TCCCTGCAACAGGGTGAGCTCCCATTGCTCGGTCCCTGCTCCTGCCAACCTAGCAGTTTGAAAGCACGTCAAAGTGCAAGTAGATAGATAGGTACGGCTCCGGCAGGAAGGTAAATGGTGTTTCTGTGTGCTGCTCTGGTTCGCCAGAAACGGCTTAGTCATGCTGGCCCCATGACCCGGAAGCTGTACGCCGGCTCCCTCGGCCAATAAAGCGAGATGAGCACCGCAACCCCAGAGTCGGCCACAACTGGACCTAATGGTCAGGGGTCCCTTTACCTTTACCTAAACCACAACAACCTGAGGTTAATATTAAAGCACCATCGAAAAAGATAGGGTCTCATATGGATAAAACAGGCATTAATTGGTTAACTTGTTTTCTCTTGTCCTGCTGCTTTGTTTTGTTTTTGAAACAAAGAAATCAACTTTAACCTTTTATTGGACATGCACAGTGAAGGAGAAAGATTGAAGAGGACAGAGAGAGAAAGGAAGAGGGTGGGAGATGAACACTGACACATTCAAAGTCCGGTCCTCACTCACCCTGCTGTAAATTGGGCCAAGTCTCACAGGCACAGATGGCTGCAACTGATTTACACCTAAATTTTAAATTGGATATATTACAAGATGCCGGAATGCCTGTGAGTCTCACTATTCTGAGGCATCGTCTTCCAGAGCAGACTTGCAACATCAATCTTTAGCACGTCTGCAGAAGACTGTTAATTAAATTAATTATCCCAGTAAATGGACCCAGAGGGCTCCTTCAGCAGGGGAGGGGAGGCGGGATTGAAACATCTCTCTGAGAAAGCAAAACAGGATAAGAGATGGCAAATGGTGCAACAAAGCAAAATAGCTTTCCTGGAAAGGAGAGTTGTTGGTTGTTTTTTGTTTGTTTGTTTGTTTGCAAGAGGACTGAATGCAATAACATAAGAGTCTGCTGGATCAGGCCTATGGCCCATTTGGTCCAGCATCTTGTTCTCACAGTAGACAACCAGATGCCCCTATGGGAAGCTGGCAAGCAGGACCCGAACACAAGAGCCCTCCCGCAGTTTCCATCAAGTGGTATTCAGAAGCATTACTGGCTCTGACCATGGGTGCAGAGCATAGCCATAATGGCCAGGAGACATTGATAGCCTCATCTTCCATGAGTTTGTCCTCATTTAAAGCTACCCAAGTTGGTGGCCTGGTGCTGGAGGAGACTCTTGAGAGTCCCATGGACTGCAAGAAGATCAAACCTCTCCATTCTTAAGGAAATCAGCCCTGAGTGCTCACTGGAAGGACAGATTGTGAAGCTGAGGCCACCTCATGAGAAGAGAAGACTCCCTGGAAAAGACCCTGATGTTGGGAAAGATGGAGAGCACAAGGAGAAGGGGACGACAGAGGACGAGATGGTTGGATAGTGTTCTCGAAGCTACCAGCATCAGTTTGACCAAACTGCGGGAGACAGTGGAAGACAGGAGTGCCTGGCGTGCTCTGTGTTAGGATATTTCCGTTCCACCTTAAAAGGGAGCAGGCTGTGAGTCACAGAGTCTGCGTATTTCCTGTTCACAGGATGTTTATGTTTTCTGTTGCTTTCGTTTTCTCTCTGTGTGTCTGGAGACATCGATGCAGGCAGTCATGGTTTTCTTTGTTCTGTTCAACGCTGAATAAAACTTGTAAATAATGCTCTCCTGAGTGCGACTTCTGCTGTGCATTATCTGCTGATAAAGAGTGTGCATCGGCTCTAGAATGTTCTGGAGCTCATGTCGCTAATTGCTGATACTGCGTGTCTACGGGAGATTGATGGATCGTCCGGCAGCCGGCTTGGGGGCCATGATGGACTTTATCTCCCTGGCAGTATCCCAACACTCTGGTCCATGGGGTCACGAAGAGTCGGACACAACTAAATGACTAAACAACAACAACAAGTTGGTGGCCATCACTGCCTCCTGTGAGAGCAAGTTCTATGCAGGGAGCTCCACTGGGGAGCTCTGTTGGGGGAAAGGAAGTCTGGTGTGGAAATGGACTGGTCAAGCTGCCAGCCAGCCAGCTTCTTACTCATCCAACCAGTGCAAAATATGCTACACCAGATAAATATTAAGAAGGCCTCATGATGAACCAGGATCTACAATGTTCTATTTTGTCAAATTCTACTCTGACTTCTCCCATGGCCACCCTCTTCCCCATATCAATACAAGATCCAAGTCATCTGGAGGAAACGCCAAAGTTTTGCATTCATTCAATATATCTGGATTGGTGTGGTATGGTGGGTGAAGCATTAGACTTGAACCAGAACTAAATTTGGGTTTAAACCAGGGCTTTTTTCAGCTGGAACTCAGTTCTGACACCCCTCAGGGGAGTGCCATTGCCATTACAGTGGTGCCTCAGGTTACAGACGCTTCAGGTTACAGACTCCGCTAACCCAGAAATAGTACCTGGGGTTAAGAACTTTGCTTCAGGATGAGAACAGAAATCATGCGGCAGCGGCACGGCAGCAGCAGGAGGCCCCATTAGCTAAAGTGGTGCTTCAGGTTAAGAATGGGCCTCCAGAACGAATTAAGTTCTTAACCCAAGGTACCACTGTATAAGAGAACAAGGGAGGTATTAATGGTGAGTTCCGGCACATCTTTTTCTAAAAAAATAGCACTGGTTTAAACCAAATCCTCCATAGACCTCTAAGGGAACGGAATATCCTTCAGAAAAGTCACTTTCTTACAATCTAATTCACCTTGCAAGGTTATTGTGAGGGGAGGATACAGTGGGGATTCCCCCTCCTCCAATCGAGACTGCTCTGGGGTCCTTGGAGGATAGGTGGCACACACACACACGGATAACAATTAATATATGGAAATGTGAAGACACAGACCATAACCTCTGCATCCCCTGCAAGGATCTTCTTCCCCACAATGAACTTTCATACTGACAAGAGGGACAGAAATGGCTAATATATTTTTATTCCTATAGCTTAGTGAGCAAGAGAGCAAACAATTAAAACTGAGCCAGGTTCATGAATCATGGGATATACTTTGTTCATTTAGTTGACAACTGCAGTTTAGCCGTAATTAATTGCGATGATGGTTCGAGACATATCCATGAGCGCTTGGGAGTATAATTTGTAAAACTCATTGTGGCAAGAGGCCTTTGTGACATCAGCCAGCTATTAAACCTTCTTTGTATCAAAGGGAGGGGTGCCTTCAGAGAAAGCAAGTTGCAGTACCAGCCTCAGGAAGGAGGGGCGGGGGTTCAGAGGTCTGATGGGAACTCTCTCTGAAGGGCAGGCTCAGCAGATAATTCTGCACATGATGTCCTCACTTTCAGGAATGAATATATTTATATATGTGGAGGGGGAGGGAGCTATGCAAGTGTGTTGAGGAAATTTGCCTAATGCCTTCTCTTGCAGAGGACCGTGGATATGACAAATGTGCTACATTTAACTAATACAAACAAGAGCAGCACTGAATATTCTCCAGTTTTGATCTTTGTGTAGAAACTAGCAATTTTGTTGGGAAAGACATTTTTCACAGAACACTTGAACTGCAGATATAGTTATTTAAAAGAACAGATTCTGTTTCAACATCCATGGTTCCTTTGGCTGCTGCTGCTGCTTCATTGTCAACACACACACACACACACACACACACACACACACAATCTACCTGCTGAGTGTTCCCCATTCCTAGATTTGTCACATGTGTGATCTCACCCAGTCAGATTAGAGAATGGAATGATGTCTCCTCCTTATGTAGCCAAATTTGGTGAATGTGATGACAATAACTAAGGGCAAGTAAGGGCAACTGAGAGCAAGACAGGGCAATGTGAATGAGTAAGTGGATATGATTTTAAAGGCTGCTGAAAATTAGCCCCAAGGGAAGGTGTTTTTGGACTCCACCAAAAATGCTGGAGGAAAACAGTGGGTGGTTTTGGCTCAGCTCCCATGAAAATAGTTTCTTTTTCATCCACATGTCTGGGACTTTGGAGATACACTATCTCGAAAGGGAACATCTTCCAGATTATTGCGATAGAGTCCACCTTCCTTATTAGCAACTGCCTCAGACAGCCATAGGGAAATAGATCAGATCAGGTTATTGGGCCGAGGAGCACAATACTGTCTACCCTCAGTAGCATCAGCTCTCCTGGTGGTGTTCCCAATCCTACCTGGAAATGCCAAGGGCTGCATCTGGAAACTTTTGCACACAAAGCTGATGTTCTACCATATCATGTTGCAAAGGAGTGCAATTTCCATTAAAGTCACATTGCCTGATTGATACAAGTTCTCATATCTGCATCACTGATTGCCACCACAAGGCTAGGGAAACTGTGTCCCTCTAGAAGCTGTAGGATTCCAACTCCCAGCCAGGCTCACAGGTTAGAGCCCCACATTGGGGTCCCTTCCAAATCTACCATTCTATGAATCCCTGGCAGATAGCTACCCAACCTTGGTATAAAAGCCTATGACAAAGTAGGGTCTGCCACTTTCCAAGGCAGCTCTATGAACTTCTGGAGGGCCATCTCTTCCCCAGCCCTGAGCCTTGACATTGATTATAGGCACCAGACATAGGGCAGATTGAAGAAGGGGGCAAGGATCATGCAGAGAGGTTCAGCAGGCTGCTTTAGATGGCAGAATTTCAGGGTCAAGGTAGGACTTTGTGTCTGAATGAGGCAGGCAGGCTCCCCCCCAAAAAAGTTGGTTCTTGTATTAGAGGTGAGGTGCCACTTGCAGTGCCACTTCAGGCAGCAAAATGTCTATTGGGCCAGGACTGCAAGTGGCTGTTCCATGACTGCCATACTTCCTTGTGACCACCACGCTAATTCTAGATGAAGAAAACCACAATACCAAGTCCAGAACATCTCCTTTCCTGGAAAGTGAAGAAAGACAGAAATAAATACGTGTGTGTGTGTGTTTGACAGGTTTGCCTTACTTTCAAAGCCAATTTGGCTGAGAATGAAAGGCTCCTTTTAAGCTAGAGGGAGGGAAGGGAAATTGAGAAACTTTCTTCTAGCCAACTGGATCACAGTGCCATCACCCTGTCATAGCACAGGGGTAGAGCCCCTGCTTTGTGAGGAGAAGATCCTGGGTTCAATCCCCAGTAGCATCTCCTGGTAGGACTGGAAGAGAACCCTGCCTGAAATCCTGGAGAGCTGTTGATGGATGGTCAGACATTATGGAGCTTAGATGGACCAACAATCTGACCTGGTATAAGCAAGCTTCCTATGTCCCTATAGCCACACTTTGGCAGGTTAATTTCATAACAACATGACTGGGTCAAGACTTTTTGCCACCTGAGGCAAAGGACAAGTAGGTGCTTCTGCCTGTTACTTGTATAGAAGCTGGCTGGACTGTCAAGTTGAAACTTACTTCAGCACTTGTGATGGCCTAGTGATCTCCACCACCTCTGAGGCAGCAGCAGGCTAGTTTGGGGTGTATGTAACATATACAACAGAGGGGAATGGCCAGGAGGGCTAAGGAGGAACAACCAGGGGCCATTTCCTGCCAGAGGTGGTTACCACATTTAGCCTAATGGATGGGCCAGTTCTGTAAGTGACTTTTTCAGTGGCTCTGCCAGTATTTCACTGTTTATTTCATTCCCACTGAGGGATGGAGAATCCTTCAAATTCTGTGGTTCTGTAATTTAAATCTCTCTGCAGCATCCCTTCCTACCACCCGCTCTCCCTCTGCTTCTGCCTTTTCCACAGGGAGGTTGGGAAGACTTAAAGCAAAATGCTTTAACCTACATGGGAGGCCAGGATTTTCAAAGGCACCGAAAGGATTTAGGTAGTTATCCCCTTTTCAAAACTCACAGAGAGGCTATTTCAAGAGGATTCAGCTTCTGCTGACACATTAATCTAAGGATAAGAATTTGAAGTATACTCACTATGCCCATTCTTTCTCTTCTCTTCATTATATACTCAGCTCAGTTCATAAGTTTATTGTTCTGGCCAAAGGTAATCACAAACTCGTATATGGCAATAGTATTAATAAAATAATGCAGAACATATATCCATGATATAAAAAATCCATAATAAAAAAGACTTTGCCAAGTTCCTGAGCATTAAAATACAGCTTCTCTTGTGCATCTCTGACACCTCCAATTCTGATATTCTTTTGCTGTTTAAAAATCCAATTTGCCAACATCCATGATATAAGAAAGAGAAGTTACCAGAGACACCAGAAAATTCAAATCCAGCTTGGTTTGGTGGGGATTTGGTGTTACAGCCTAGAAATATGTGCCTAATTTATTAGGTTGAAATCACTTGCCTGACCTTCCACTTTCAGTCCTCTTGGGTGATAGAGGTGCAGCTAGAAGGGCCAGCATGATGGCAACGGGCCACAGACTATGGGGCAAGAGGTGCCACTGAATGTTCCAGCATTCCTCTTTTGAGTCTTTGGCAAGTCACCACAAGGGAGGCAAAAGGAGCAGCCGCCTGCCACTTCAGGGGGAGTCAAAGCTGCTAACAGCTGCTCAGAAGCCTTCTGTTTGATTAGCAACATATTTAAATAACTTTTAATGAGCAACAAGCCTGGAATCATCCATAAGGGAGTCATTTAAAATCAAGGAACCTGGAGTGAAATTCCCTCCCCATCTAGTTAAGGGGAAACAGAATGACGAGAGAGGGAAAACCAAAGCGAAAACATCATGGTTCCCAAGCAAAATGAAGTGGAAGGGAATGTCATTCCAGCCACAGGTGTTGGGTCCAGGCCCATGAACTCATTCAGCTGGGATGGATATCTACCTGCACTTTGGCAAGACCCTTCACCACCCCGTGAAAATATGTGTAGCAGTGATGCTTTATGACTTTGGTGGGGTGGGTAGATTCTGAAAACTTTGGGTTGAGGTGTTAGCTTTGAATACGAGGTGGCTTGTGGGTTTTGCTTTCTTTAACTAATGAAAGGTCTTGCTGAACACAGCTAGTGTGCCTATGGGGATCTTGGTTATAAACTCTTTCTCAGCAGCATGGCGATGGACTCTTCATTGTGAATGCGGTAGTGGACTCCTTCCCAGGGGCAAGGCCATTGACTTTCCTCGGGGACATAGCTATTAAGGCTGTCGTAATGAGCTCCGGAACTGCAAAATTTACCCCTGCGCCACTGGTAGCATCACTCCCATGGGGCATCCTGTTACAGGAACCCCCCTGGGATGTTGCAGGCAGCCCAGGGACTGCTTATAGTAGTAGCAATACTTCTTCTTTGCCCCAAGAAGGAGGGAAAAACTCAGCTGCCTGTATTAAGCAGAAACTAAGGAAAACTTAGAAGGTCTCAGAACCACCACCAGACATCTCCCACTTGAGGTTGGGAGCGAATGGTCCTGGGAAAGTTGGAAGGAGCAATGGCCCTGTGGCTGCAGCAGAATGTCACAATCACATGGAATTTACTGAATTTATCGAGCTCAATGTTGAGGAGCTCCTATCAGAAAAGGATCTGGCAGCCCCCCAGGGAAAAGGGTATGTATACACCCCCAATCCTCATTTGGCTGCTTTAGCCTTCAGCCTGCACAGAGATTGCCTGCTTAATCTCGGAATTACAAAGCTATGGCAGGCATCGGAGCGATCAGGCTCCCGCCTTATTAAAAAGTTATTAAGCCGTGACATTTCTGCAGCAGTCAGCTGAGCCCAAGAGCACCATATCTTTGGCTATCACTGCCTTATCGCAATTTGCGAGGGAAACTCAGTCCCGATCGGATGGGTAGAGTACAAAAGAAAGCAGCACAGCCTCCCCGTAACTCCATTTAAAGGTCTTAGTGGGGAAAGGGACAGTGTGTGAAGCAGTTGGAAGCATTCCTGGGGTAGCAGAATGGCTAAAAGCAGTGAAGCCCCCAGATGAAATCTTTCTTCTTCCACCATGTCTTTGCTAGGTAGCTTTAGGTCCAGTTGACTCACTCCCAGCCCATCATTCAAGGCAGAAGGATAACAACACTGACATACACAAACCCTCTTGGTCCTTCATCTGGACAGAGCAAGAGGCACGATCAGAGTTCAAGGACATATTCTATTCAGGCAAAACCTCTCGGAGGTTGAAGCAGGAGAAGTGAGGGTTGTGACCCGGGGAGAGTTCTGAGGGCCAGACAGAGGAACTTGAAGGGCCACGTTCTGCCCCCAGACTTGAGGCTGTCCACCTCTACTTTGGGCAATCATTGTACAAATTGCTGAGATATCATATGCAAAGTGTGTTGATCATCATAAAACACTACAGTGGAACCTCGGTTGTCAAACGCAATCCATTCTGGAAGACTGTTCAACTTCCGAAATGTCCGACAACCAAGGTGCAATGGGCAGTTGGCAATTTCAATGGAGAAAATTGAGAAACGCGTCTCAGAAGCTGTTTGACTTCCGAGGCACGTTTGAAAATGGAAGTAATTACTTCCAAGTTTTCAGTGTTCGAAAACCGAAACGTTCGGCTTCCAAGACACTCAAAAACCGAGGTTCCACTCACTATTATTATTGCTTTGAAATTATTTCTGGTTTTGTGGCTCCTGAATTTTATAGCTACTGAAAACAATTTTATCCCAGTGATCTGGAGTTGAAGGCAGTTTGAAAAAGCACATTGATTATAGATGACATCACAGGAGAGTGAGGAAGGCAAGCAGTGATGTGCAGTCAGTGGACTAGAGGGACTAGGTTAGTCTCCTAAATGTTTCTCTGGCACCTCCTTCCCAAAGCCTGGAAAGCTTCTGTTCGGCTTAGGGAGGGAGACACGGTGCTCCAACAGGTCCAGGAGCCCTCCTGCCACCTTCCCAAAGTTTCCCAGCTTTGGGAAGGAGGCAGGAGGGCTCCAATATCGTGTCAGAGTGCTTTTGTCTCCTTCCCAAAGCCTGGGAAGCTTCTGCCCAACTTCGGGAGGGAGGTGTGATGCTCACATGTGTGATGTCAGGACGTTGTGACATCATGTGCACAACGGCCCGCTATCGCCCTCCCCATTGCCATCACAAGCTGGCACTTCTGGCCCTAACTATTCCCCTATGAAAAGTTTCACCATATGCCAGGGCAAGCCTTCCACGCCAACAAGTTGTTTGCACACCTCATTGCTGTGCCCCTGTAGTTACTTGAAGGAAATGTTCTTTTCATGTAAATAAATCCTAAAGCAGGAATTAAAATAAGGCTGTGTTCTGTAATGTGCTTCCTTGAAAAGTTAAATTCATCAAAAAAAACCAGGGGATTCCTCAAAAGAAAATACTTTAAAAAAAAAAAAAGTATGATGGTGTGGAACAATGGAGGCAGGGAATGGGGCTTAAAAGACTTCATTGCTGTGTAAGGATGGAGAGAAACTGAGAAAGGGCAAGACTGAAGCCAGTAAACCGCTCAGTTCCTGAAGGAAAGGGCAAACTCATCAATACATGGGGATCCTGAGAGTGCCGCAATTGTATAGAGAAAGGGCATTAAAAAGTAATAAAGCGAATTCCTTTTGCAGAGCCATGAACCTTTCCACGGTAACTTACAGCCTTTCCAACTTCAGCATTGTCCCGCAGGAATATCCAGGCAAACTATACCAGAAAGGATTCTGGAGTGGGGCAGGGAGCAGTTGGTAATAATGCAGAAGGCATTGATTTATGTTGAAGTACTCACACTGCCCCAGCAACAAGAGAGGGCATAGATTGCAAGCAGCAGCATAACCAAGCTCAGTGGAGATGGAGGCAGTGGTCAGCCTCCATTTATGTCAAGGCACAAGCTTTAGGGTTTTGAACTCTGCTCCCAGAATATGACCTCCATCTAAAGAATAGACAAATCTGTCAATTTTCATTTCTCTTTGTCTCTGATTTTCCAGATCTTAAGTTCAATATGCCCTGCTTGTGGATACATTTGCAATTTTTAAAATGAAAATCCACATGGAAAAAATTGTGCACATTTTAATATACACATTTTTGTACACAATTTTTCCTAGTCCATGCCATTTTTTACAAGTCACTTTCCCCTGATAGAATGAACTTTTGTAGATTATACTTACTAATATAGGCGCTTTTTGGCAGGCACTTCTCAGGAGTATAGACTTTTCAATGCCTTCATTGCATGGAAAATTAGTTGCATTGCAACATTCAGAGAACAGCAGATTGCAAAGCAGAGCTGGGTTTCAGTTTGCCTATTGAAAACCCAGGAAGTGAAAATT